TAATACCCAAACCGGAACCATTATCAACAAGCCCATCATAATGAGAGACACCAGAGAGATTTGCAACATCAGAGGTAACATGATAGGATGCACCAGAATCAAGTAACCAAGCTGGGGAAGAGGATGAGTGGCCATGGGTAGTGGGATTTATCACCGGTGGATTTCGAGAGGCAAATTGAACGTGAATGAAACGTTTGGCATTATGACCTTGTGTACCACACCATTGACAGTAGCCATGGTATCCTGTCCTGGAGGTGTTGTTAGATCGGCGATCGTTATCATTTGGGAGAAGATGAAAAAGAGCAGGAGGAACAATTGGAGGTGTATTGCCGAGAGCTGTGAGTGATATTGGTAGTGATTACATGGGCTGCAAAAGTAGTATTATCTCGTTTAAGACCAGCTTCATGTGCGGCAAAGTTACAGGAACAGATGTAAGCAACGAATTCCTTAAATTTAGGGCCAATACCATTGAGAATATAAAGAAATAGATCATCATCGGAAAGACGAACATTGATGATGGCAAGCTCGTTGGCAATCACTTTCATTTTGAGATGTGACAAAGTCTTTTGTGCCACCCATTATATGTTTTAGTTTTGTTTTGAATTTGCTGGTGCTTGCAATGCTCATAACATGGTCAAATTCTTTGATATTGAATTGAAACATACCATTAACAAGAGTTCCACTACCAACTGAAATTGTATTCCTTACATTAGAAAATCCAATATCATTGACCACCTCAAACTTTGCTTTTACAAGCCTAGATATTGATACTAGATTCCTTCTCAACTATGTCTGCAAACTTGTATCACTACATGTTAGCCCTTGGCTTCACCTCCTCCACTGTTGATTCATATCTTTTCATTTAAGTTGTTCCATATCATACCTTCCTATGTTGATGATATGCACATCAATGGTTCTGACAAAGCTCACTGTCACTCTTACATTCAATAATAGTCATAAATTTGTTATCATAAATCTAGGCTCATTTCACTACTTTCTTGATATTCAAGCTCATTGCAATACAAACAGCTTGTTCATATGTCAAACCAAGTATATTCAAGACATTCTCACTAAAGAAACTATGATCGATGCAAAACATTGCTCATCTCCCACTTCCACAACCAAATTGGACATCACTTCTGGTGATGTGTTAGACGACCCTACTCATTATTGATCACTAGTTGGTGCCCTTCACTACCTTACTTGGATTCGACTAGATATCTTTTCCTCTATCAATCAAGTTAGCCAACATACACAAACTCCACAAACTTTTCACCTCACTGATGTCAAAAGGATCCTTCAATATCTCAAAGGAACACTTGATCATGGTGTCCCAAAGGCTCTACATCTCTCACAGCTTTCTTCGATGTTGATTAGGTCAGTTGACCCATTGATAGAAAATCCACCCTTAGCTTTTGTTTCTTTTTTTGGTCAACAATATCATAACATGGAACCAGACCTTTGTGGCCAAATCCCCTAGAGAAAATGAATATTGAGCCCTTGGTCATACTACCACTGAACTCACTTAGATATCCTCTTTATTAAAGGACCTTCACTTTTTCCTCTCGATACAAGCTCTTCTTCTTATGACAACCTCAGTGCCCTAGCACTCTCAGCAAACCCATTAACCAAGCATATTGAGGTCGACTATCATTATATATGTGAATTGGTCGCCATATCTCACATATCTTCTCACAACCAACTTGTTGATATCTTCATCAAACGTCTTCCCAAGCCACATTTCAAAGAACTTAGTTCCGAGCTAATTATGGCCACTCTATGGATTTGGTATTTGGTCAAGCGTACATATTGATCATGATAGAATAATCTTGTTGCAATTGCAATTGGGAAGGCCATATTTCTCATGTTTAGTTACCTCCACTTGAATAGTATTTGTCATACGTACTGTTTAGGCTGTTAGGCAACCTCCACTTGAATTTGGTATATGAGATAGATAGATAGTCTTTAATTTTGAGTGGATTAAGAATAATAGATTGCTCAGTAAATTGGGATTAATTTATGATTGCTCAGTTATGTTATTTAATGGATTTACTAATGTATTATTTATTTATTTTTATGGGTGATGTTTTAGCAAGAAGAAGTTGATTTGCAGAGAGGAAATGGTCAACTACTAACACTCGCTGATGCTTAGTATCTTTTGCTTTCTATGTAGATGAAGTTGGTTAGGTGTGGAGATTTGAAAGTTAGCACATCTATTGAAATTGCTTGGTCTTTTTGTATTGCTTTATTGACATTAGGCACATCATATCATCAATCAAATGTTATTTTTTTGAATTTGAAATTTCTATTGATTAATCCAAGCACACGGAGTTGAATCCCTTCATTAATCTCATTCTTGTTCGTTATCTGTTTTTCAATACTGGGTTAGATGACATTAGTTACGTAAATTTTGAGTTTTAACAGGTAACACGTATTGAATGAATGATAAAATCAACATGAGATTTATTATTACAAAAACAAAACAAAAATAATACCAATCACGTTGTGCAGAATAAACCGTAATTGTTAATTGATGGTCTTCAATTACGACGACTAGTGCATGTCGTAATTGCTTGTACTGAATTACGGCTCACTATGCAAGTCGTTTAAAGTAATTATAACGACGTTACATGCACGCTGTAGTAAAGTTTATGGCGTGCTTTTTGTGGGATTATTTGCGACTAGAAAACATGTCGTTATTGAGGAACATTATTTACTACACGGGCTTTTACTGCTTGTAGTCTTACGTCGTGAATGACACTTTACGACGTATTTTGTGCGTCGCAAATGATGTGTTCTGGTGTAGTGTTTCCTCTTTAGCTAAAACCTTAACACTAGTTAGTATTTCAAGTAACTATGAATGTGAGGTTTCATTTCATTTTTTTTCTTTCTTGATACAAGCGATATGATGGGAGAGGGGTTTTCTACAACTACCAAGGTGTCATAGGGGGTTAAACTTAAGACCTCTGGTCCAGTGACAGAGCCACAGTGGGATCGCACTACCTCTTGGAAACCATGGAAATAGGCTTAGGGGGTCCCTTGGAGTTGGGGGAGAGACCCTTTGGAGTTGCACACCAAGTGCTCGACGTTTTTCCTGAGGAAGAAAGGAGTTGCGCGAGGAAGAAGAAGTGCTGCTGGTTTTTTTATTTTAACATCCTGGGCAAAACGACGTCGTTTTGTCCCAGGAATTTTCTTTAAAATGGTCTGGCCCAGCAACTCCCCCCAAAGTCCAAACACACCAATTACCTCCATCCCATTGCTTTCAATCTTACAATTTTACCAAATCTGGAAAATATTGGCCAACGTTTAATATACACCTCTGCCCAACAACCCTTCATATTTCCCATTTCATTGGGTTGTCTTGTCCACTCTTCGGAGTGGAGAGTGGGCTTTCATGAGACAACGATTTATAAAAAACATAAAAATACTTAAATAAATGTAATAAAATACCATGTCTCTGCTCCATTCAACTCAAACACTCAAATGGACTTCTAAAATCCCCAAATTCTATTATTCTCTACCCTAAGTTCCCAACTAAATTGTTCTTGGTATACTTAAACCTCTGTGTTACATTCTTTTGTTTGATGATAATGCCTAATATTTTTATTGGATAATGATTTATTGATAATGCCTAATATTATTTGATTTGTTGGAATTTAGGGTTTATGATTAATTTTGTGATGGACTTCTTGTCCTCTCTTTGTTTGTTCATTTGTCTTAATAAAATTTGTTTCTTTAAAAAAAAATGGTTGACTGTTTGGTTTGATTAATTCATGTGTAGAATTATGGAATGATAAGAGGAAAGTAATAGAAAATTATTTTTTAGTGTTATTTTCATCTTTTAAAAAATATCGAAACTCTTACACTAAAATCCCTTGGGCTAACAATCCTGGATTCACCACTACTCTGATCTACAAATCAAGATCTTTTTTCACTGGGTTAGACTCCTTTAGCGAGGTTCTATTTCTTAAGTGAAAGTTGTTTGGGATGAGAACTATAAAATTTTTCACTTAAATTGTTTTTATAAGTAATTTCATATTTTGGATAGATTGTATCTAGTTTATTTTACTTAAAGAATGAGTGAAGAATTAGCTTTTTCTTTGTATCTTAGAAGAAGTAGGTTTAGATAAGATATATAGAATTATAGAGCCACTCTTAAGCAATAAAATATTTTGTTTTCTTTATAAGAAACAATTTGATTAGGTTCCTTATGGATAAATCAACCAAAATAAAATCTATGAAAGCTTCATTGTCAACTCATAAAGCCTAGTTATACGTGAACGTCTTATCAATTCAGTTCCTTATGGACAAATCAACCAAAATAAAACAAAGTAATATACAAATATTGAACATGCATGGAGATTAGAAAGGAATAAAAAAAAGGAAAATTTGAAAACAAGAATCCCAATAAGGACAAATGAGGAATTATGAGTAATGAGCAAAAGCATCCTAATTCATTGACTGCAGCTTGGACACTTGACAGACATACAATACAATTGCATGACAGAAATTCTAAGCATGTCTCTCATCCCAATAATAATAATAATAGCTTTTTATTTTTATTTTTACTTTCTTTGTTGGTTTATTATTTTCTCTCTCTTCTCTAAACATTCCCAAGCATAAATATCTCAATCGCGCCCCCCTCGTCCGCTACAGAAAGCCAAGAGGGTTAAGAGAGATGGGTCACTCCGACCCACTCATTCTCTCAATCATAACACACCCAACCCCACCACCTCTCTCTCTCTCTCTCTCTCTCTCTCAACACCCCCCCCCCCACCACCTCTCTCTCTCTCTCTCTCTCTCTCTCGCTCTCTCGCTCTCTAAATCCACAAACAACCTTTCCCATAAAACCACCTTTTATATGTTCATATTACAAAAACCACTACTTAAGTTACATTTTACATCTCTTCCCACTTCACTCTCCGACCAGTCTAGTCCCATCCTCTCTCTCTCTTCTCTCTCTCTCTCTCTTTTTCTCTCTCTCTCTCTCTCTCTCTCTCTCTCTCTCTCTCTCTCTTTTCTCTCTCACAAAAAGCTTTTTCTATCTTCTTTTGTCTTCGTGTTCATTTCTTTGTATAATTTGTTTCTTGTTATTATCAGAATTAATTATATCTCCTTTTTTTTATTCACGCTTAGCCTTTTCCTCAAGGAATACTTCCTGATCCGGCTATATATTACAATTTAAGCTTTGAAATATTATGTCAATGGATTTGATGGCATCCGAACGTGTTTGTTATGTTCACTGCAACTTCTGCAACACCATTTTAGCGGTACCTCTCTCTCTCTCTCTCTCTCTCTCTCTCTCTCTCTCTAAATGTCATTATAAGGTTTCTTTGTGATGTCTTTCAAGTTTCCACAGCTGAATTGACCAACATCCGGGCTTTCATAAATTTAGATGAATGAATTTTATGCATCATGACCCTTCATGGATCCAAAAATAACTTACTTCCAAGTGTAGAAGAAAAAGAATTAATTGGGTTTTGCGAATATATAGCTAGAATTGTGACCCTTAAATCAATACATAAAATGCCCCCTTGTTTTCTGCTTAAAGTACTTGAATTGCCGCCATGAACTGCAACTTATTCTGATTTCACATGGAATTGACCCAACAATCTGTCTTGTACCCTATATTTTATGAGGAATTGTATCTGGGTTTTGGCCTGCAAGCCTCCAAGTACATGAAAATAATAAGAAATTCAATTTTATGTACGTCAAGAATAGTAGAATTCCAATCGATCCCATGAATGACTTATTTTATCTCAAAAGCGACGGATGATTGCTTCCTTCTAGCTAAAGATAGCAAGCAAATCTCCTAAAAGGTTTCCTACTGCAGATTATTTCATTGCCATGAAAACTACTAGGGCAACAGCTAGGGTTATATTTCCAATTAATTCCAGGCAGGCACAGGTTGAGACAGTTTTTCTGATCCCAAGCTCCGCACAACTTTATGCTGATTCCTATATATATACAAAAATTAAATGGCAGGGATATTATTAATTGATTTCTAAAGCCAAGCCATGGCAGTACTGATTCATTTTCTTTTATCGTTCGATCTTGTCATGCCTTCATTGCTCTCTCTCTCTCTCTCTCTCTCTCTCTCTCTCTCTCCCCCTCTCCCTCCCTCCCTCCCTCTGTGGATAAATAAATATGATCGATCCAGTCGTTACATATTTCATGTTTTGAATATCAATCTAGTACAAAAGGTGCCTTTTCTTTTTCTCTTTACTTGAACTTGTGAATATATATATATATATATATATATATACACAGAGAGAGAGAGATCTGCTGCCAATGAAAATCTTGGAGCCCTAGCAGCAAATTTTTCTTTTCTTTTCTTTCTTCTTTCTACTATCTTTCATCATAAGATGCCTCTGATAAACAACCCCTTTTGAATGCTTTCTTTTGTTTTTTCCCTTTTTTCTTTATTTGTTCGCTGTTGATATATAGAAAATGATGTTAAACACTGCACAGTGCAGAGTGAACAGTAATTAAATTAGTGTATATGATGATGACGATTCAGATACCAGCAAGCTTTGTCTCTTTATTCATGGGCTATCTTTGCGATGTTTGAAAGTGATGAGTGGTTAATGCTTGTCATGGACTTTAATGGTTTCCGTTCCTGTCATGTCACTTTCGTCCTCTCTCTCTCTCTCTCTCTCTCTCTCTCTCTCTCTCTGGTTGATTGCAGCTACATGTATGTATATATGTATTTATACCTATATATATACTTTTCTTTCTATCTTTTATCATCTTCCTTGGGGATGTGTCAGGCAGAAAAGCCAGGAGGGGCACCGAAAGGGAAAAAATAAATAGTGCCTTAATTGACTCTTGTGTGCGTGTGTTTCTTTGTTTCCAGTGTGTGTGTGATTGAGAGAGAGAGAGAGAGAGAGAGAGAGATGATAGCCTTTAATTTATTAAATGAAGGCTAGTCCTTATAGTTATTACCCATGTGAGGCCTAAGAGTTTTGAGAGAGGGTCTCTGTTAAGCTGCGATTACGATCTCTCTCTTTCTCTCTCTCTCTCTCTCTCTCTACATTGATCATAACCGCATTTTTGTTGTAAATAACATATATATAATCTTTCTAGCTACTTCTTTGGATACATTTAGGAATTTCATCCTTCTACTTGTTGTTCTTCTTGATCTTCTTCTTCTTCTTCTTCTTGATCACTGCATTATAGAAAGAGTCCTGGATGAGATGTCATATATCTAGTTTGTTTTGCGGATGAGGAAGATAGCTATCTCATACAAGATATTTTTATGTTTATGAGTATAGGGTTTGATTATTATTTGATGCTTAAATTAAACACCTTGACAACGGCATATTTGTGAGCAAGAATTTGTGATTAAGGTACTAACCAAATTAAACTTTAATAAATCCTTCATTCTCTGAGGATAATTGACATTGTTTATGTGTGTTTCTATTAATTAAGAAGAACATAGGACACAGAAATTGTATAATTAAGTGTTAATTACTTAGTTTATCTTTTAATTTATGTAATTGGGTGCACCTGCAGGTGAGTGTTCCATGCAACAGCTTACAGAACGTGGTGACGGTGAGATGTGGGCATTGTGCCAATCTGCTGTCAGTTAATATGGGAGCTTCCCTTCAGTCGAATGCTCTTGCTCCTCAAGATCCCCAGGTAATTAATTAATCATTTTAGATTATAATTTATTTAAGCCGGCCCTTACCAAGGGAAAACATAACAAAAATAGAAAACAAAGCACAATTCATCATATTCATTCCACAAGGAATTTGATGGGGTGTGTGAAAATTGTCTGTTAAGTTCATTTATAAAGATGGTTTTAATTTGATGGGATAATTAGTTGTTTTGGTGAAATTAAAGCTACAGAAGATGCACCTGAGCTCTGAGGATTCAAATAAGAGCTGCGGATCTTCATCATCTTCCAAATGCAGCAAGTTTGGTCATCCCTTTGAGTCTGTAGAGCTTCATGACCAACCTAGAATCTCTCCCATCCGCCGTGAGTCTCTCTCTCTCTCTCTCTCTCTCTCTCTCTCTCCAACTACACCTTCACCCTCAAAAAACTTAATGTCTCTCATACCAAATGCTAAATGCAAAACCAACTACCTGGTTTGATTGATTTAATATCCAAATGTAGCTTTAAGAAAAGTGTTTCTACACATTTGGAAAACCACCTAATCTTCTGATGCTAATAAGACTCATGCATGCAAATAGAGATTTGTCCTCAGTGCCTCATGGGCCAAATAGGATGATGGTGACCTTTCATAACAGATTTCAGAACCCATCAATTAATTGATACCAATGTCCATTAATACTTTCACAATTTAATCCCCAATCATTTATAATAATAATAATATTTAAAAAAAAACCAATTATATAGGCTGCATTTTGTATGTGAGGAATCTATAGTCTGCCTCTAAATGAACCCTCTGTGCTTTCAATCCCAATAGTACACCATTGGAATGTGGTCAATTTTTTAGCTGTATATATCTGGATGATTTAATTTCTTGGACTTTGTATTGGAGTTTCATTGGAATTGGAAGCCGACATTTCATTTCATGCAGAATTATCTAAACCATTTTATATTTGTTCATATTTATATATAAATGTCTCAGCACCCGAGAAGAGACAACGGGTTCCTTCAGCATATAACAGGTTTATCAAGTAAGTTTAATACAATACTTTTATCACAAATTCTGTTGCTAAGATGGACATATTATCTCATTTTTAATGTCTCTCTCTCTCTCTCTCTCTCTCTCTCTCTCTCTCTCTCTCTCTCTCCAGGGAAGAAATTCAAAGGATTAAAGCTAGTAATCCTGACATTAGCCATAGGGAAGCTTTTAGCACTGCAGCTAAAAATGTAAGTCATGGATTGATAACAAAGAAAAGAAGGCATCATGTCTCTCAACTTTTTCATATCTGGGAGGTCCTGTAGTTATTAAAGTAGTATCAAGCTTCTTTTGGTACATAGAACCATCAAGTTGATCGATGCTGCTCCTTACATTATTAGTAAGTAATGACTCTTGTTAATCAAGTCAGAAAAGTGTCAGAAGATGAAACATTATTAGTAATCATTTCGTTTTTCGTTTTTATTTTGTAGTTTTTATTTGTTTACTTAGAGATAAAGAGAAAATATATAGAAGAAAACGATCGAGAAAGAATTACAGGAGGGAGGAAATCATAATGATGGAGAAACTAAGGCAAATGCATGAAACAAAACATGAGAAAAACAAAAACTACTTAAAATTTTCTTTTAGCTTTTCATCTTATGTAACATTCCATTACATTTCTCTGTCCTGTCCACCATCCCTCCTTCCCCACTTCTCCATCTGTTCTCTCTCCTTTCTCTAGCTATCATTTCTCCCATTTACTTTTCCATATAATCTTTAACTAAAACAACAAAAACAAAAACATATAATCTTTAACTAAAACAACAAAAACAAAAACAAAAACAAAAACAAAACCGAAACGATTTCCATTTGGATGGCTAAATGCATGGCGTGGAAATAAGGAATGATTTTTTTAAGTGCTTGTATCATGCTTTAGTGCAAAATAAGGTTTCACAAAGTGAAAGAGTTGGTGGCATTCGATCCGACAAGGAGTAAAATACACATCCTGGGAGTTCTCTGAAGCTCTTCCATTTAATCATTCTCATTTTAGGAAACATGATAGCAATGGTTGGTAAATAAAATAATAAAAAAAAAGAGAGTAATATAACCATAAAAACGGAAATGGCCAAAAGAAGAATCAAGACTATAAAGGAAAATTAATTTATTCATGGTCTTTTACCATTTGAAGTTTGTGAAATATCTTGTTTGTCATGGCAAAATGTATAGTTTCATTCTTAGATTTCTATATTTTCTTTCTGCAAGACTGAGGGCATACATCGAGATATGGATATAAAGGGGAAAAAGAATATAAAAAACACAAAATCAGATTGGATTTTCTGTGTTGCTTGTCACTAAAGAATGCAGATTCACTTGATGGGTTGAGGGGTATGGAGCAACAAGTGTGGTTAATCGTTCTTTTGATTATAGTTGATGTGATATTTATATGGACGAAATTTATTAGCACATCTAAAACACAAAAAGGACTGAAAAAAGCTCATTGTCTGACATTTTTGGAAGTGAAATACTCATTACTCTGAAAATAGGAACTTCTACTTTCCTGTTAATCATAGTTTGGCATACGTACATAAATTTTTGTGTTTTTGATGAATTGGTTTTGCATATGTGTCAAACTGTAATTTTCAGGCAAAGAGTAATGTCTCCTTCCAGAAAGGAGGCGGACAGTGTCCAATTACTTAAGCATGCTCTACTGTCTGATTTGCTATATCAGTTTCGAAACTAGGGAGATTTATAGTTCTAACAAGCTTAAGCATTTCAGACATAAGGCTCCATACCACATTGTATATAATTTTTCTCCCTTTAACATGAGCATCCTGGATAGGGATTGGTCTTTTACAATGTTGTTTATTACATGTGTTGCTGTCAAGGTTGTTATAATGTTGCATATGCCAATGCAGTTCTCTTTATCAGCCTTAAACGTTTGTCACAATATTGGAGAAATAATAATGATGAAAGTTAAAATGGAAACTATCAACTGAGAAAAGGTTTTGTGTTGCAGTGGGCACATTTTCCTCACATTCACTTTGGTTTAAAGCTGGATGGCAGCAAGCAACCGAAGCCGGATCAGACTTTTGCAGGAGGAGATCAGGGAACTCAAAAGTCTAGCGGATTCTACTAAAACAAACTGGTAAATATCCCCCGTGAGAAAGAAGCAACCTGGTTTTTCTATATATGTGTGTGTGTGATGCAAAGAAATATTGAGGTTGATGAAGTCTCCTAACCCTATAGCTAGGGAACCTCTTTAGAACCTCACCCTTTCAAATTGCTATATATATGTGTTCCATTGATTTCCCTAACTATCAAGAATTCTTGTCATTACATTCATGTTGGACTTTATTTAATCTTTTAAGTAAACAGATAAAGCAGATCAATCTCTCTCTCTCTCTCTCTCTCCCTCCCTCTCTCCCTCTCTCCTTCCCTCTCTTCTCTCTACCCTCACCTCTCTCTCTGTGGGAGGACCACATAATTAACCACTGTGATATTGCATGCATCTGGGAATTCACCCCAGAGGACCATAGGTTAAAGTTTTTGGCTGCATATATTATATATATGTGTGTATATATATTTACACAACCAGCTTATGAGTGTATATCGAGCTGTCATGACTGATGCAACACGAGAGAGAGAGAGAGAGAGAGAGAGATGCCATTTGTGTATATTCACAAGATTGATGATGCAGACGTTCTTGCATGCTTCACCTGTCTCTTACTGGGGGCTCAGATGATCATAATAGCATTTTTTAAAGTTTTCTATCCATGATTATATAGATTTGTTATAAATAGTTTTGAAAGTTTTCTTAGTTTTTTTCTTTTTCTGTTTAAAGGTTTTAATTTTTTTAGTATTATTTTTTCATTGAATTTATGGGTTCGACATGCATGCCATGGTAGCAAACAGTGACAAAGCCACTCCTAGCCTAGAGTGGCCTTGACCCCCTTAGATTTTGATCTCTCCTGTATTATATTATATATAACATATAAAACTTGTAATAAACAACTTACAATATAAGTTAAAATTTCCTTTAAAATAAATAAGACATAACTAAATTAGAAATATTTAGCTCTAAACATGTAAACATTGAATACATAGATATTTTATATACTCGTATTTTTTACTTCGGTTCCCTCAACTTTACAATTCTAGCTCTGCCCCTAGCAACAAACTAACAAACTTTTTGATGGAATCCAACTACATGAACAAATTGATGTAACGATGACTCACAAAAAAACAAAAAGTATAAAAAGGACTATAGCTAATAGTTTGATGAACCTCATAGATGTTTGTGATAAGTCCCAAAAAAAAACAAATTATTGAGAGTATTGTGGAAATTATGAAGGGTTTTCTTTGAAACACCTAAAGTTTTAAATTTTCAGTGTGTGGAAGAGAAAAAGGTTTTGTTGATCAATTTTATAGGTGTAAAATAGGATTACCATATGATTATTAGGGTATATGATATTCGTATATACCTCAAGGTACTTTCGAGGAAATTATCAATCACTTTAGAATTAGGGTTGTTTTAGTCATTGTTGACATTGCTCTCTAGTTTTCTTTGCAATCTACATTGAAGTATTGCGAAATACAAACATTCACACTTTTAGTGAAAGTGTATAAGATCTATTATTTATTTTCCAGTTTCAAGCTTATAGTCATTGGAGGACTTACGAATTTTTCAGTGGATGTGCAATTTTTAAAGGGTAAAAGCTTTTAAAAATGGAGATGATTTTTCCACTCATCTTTTATCCACTTACACTCTCTTTTGCTAGAAATGTTATGTTCCCACTCATCTTTTGTTCACTTACACTTCCCTTTTCGTTATAGTAAAAATTATTAAAAAATAAAAGGGAGTGTAAGTAGACAAAAGGGGAGTGGGAAAATCACCACTATTAAAAAAAGGAGCATACTATAGTTTATATAGTATATCAATTAATATGAAAATCAATATCAATATCAATTAATTTAAGGAAAATCAATATTAAATTATGAATTACATACAAAAATAATAATTGATCATACCTCGAGTTGTGTATCGCACACCCTTTTTCTTACTGGGTTTGCTATAAGTTATAGTCCTTGAAATTTTGGAATAATTATTATTCAGTAAATAGAATTTCTAAAGAGTGGTGGAACGAAGAACATGCAAAGACTCAGGCCGCTACCAACCAATAAGACTGAGTGGAATATGCTTGGAAAATTAATTCCTTTAAACCTGCTGGTGGTTTCAACTAATACGGAAATTTGCATATTTAAGTCTATAAATTATAATTTACTTGACTCAACTGAAGCCATTAATTACTTGTTATACCTGCTTTCTCTCAATTAAGCAACTCACCATAAGAATATTTGCTGTGGTCATGCTGACGTGGTTCGATAACTATCCCTAGCTAGGTTTTGAGGGAATCACAAGCCGGTGAGGGGTGTGAAGATCACCCACGGTTGATTGGATCATTGATCTTGGTTCATGCTATGTTGATATCCAATGAAGCACAGTGTTGTGGACTGTAACGTCTGCAATATGCCCACTTATGCTGCTGTAGCATCAAGAATAGCACTGTAAAATGCCATTTTGGAATATTAATGCCCGGAGAGAGAAAGAGAGGAGAGAGAGAGAGAGAGAGAGAGAGAGAGAGAGAGAATAGGTTGCTTTGTCTCGTGGCATGGGGTTGAGAGTACAGAATCTGAAACGTCAAATCGTGTAGTTGTATTTTGGAATGATGCGTGTGTGCGAGGGTGGGTGTGAGTGGGTCTTGTCCAGAAGATAGAGGGGAGGGTGATTTTGCTTTACTTTAGTAGCTTTATGAAAACAATAAATGTCTGGATCACACTTGTCATGTCACTCGCGAGACTAATTAGGGAAGGAGTAAAAGAAGGGAGGGAAAACGCTGCCGTTGGAAATGGAAACACCACCTAGAGAGAGAAAAGGAGGGTGCGTCTGCCATACCCTTTTAATACAATTAAGTGTATCTCTCTCTATTTATGTAACTTTAACGTAACAAGAGAAATGATGTTCGGGGTCATTTTTAATATAAGTTATTTGATTTTAATTTCATCAATTTAAATTTTAATATTATGAAAATTGACCAATTTATACTCTTTGTCAAATTGACTGTCTGGTTAGACATTAAATGATGAACTGTTCATTGTTGGACACATCCCACAAACTGAATGACGATCCCTCTGATGTTCGGGGTCATTTTTAATATAAGTCATTTGATTTTAATTTCATCAATTTTAATTTTAATATTATGAAAATTGACCAATTTATACTCTTTGTCAAATTGACTGTCTGGTTAGACATTAAATGATGAACTGTTCATTGTCGGACACATCCCACAAACTGAATGACCGATCCCTTTATAAAAAATTAAAATGAATTATATAAAATGATAAATAACACAATATGAAAAGAAAAATCTACCCCCAGACCCCAGACCCCAGCCCCCTCCCCCACCTAGCAACCGAAAATAAGAATTTTCAGCTATGCTCACATCAACATTGAAACCCAAGATTAAGAATTTGATTTGTATCTCGGTAAGGGGTTAGGTTATGGAGAGAGAGAGAGAATCTTCTTCCTTTAATAATTTAGATTATCGCTTGTATTAAATATAAAAAATATTTTCATACCCACCTTGTAAAATTGTTGCAATGTGATTCATGTCGTTGATCTAGTTGTTAAAAAAAATCCATTTAGTGATAACATGGTGAAGCCTACTTTTCTTATCATAAGTGGCATAAAATATTAATAAACAAACAAAAATGAATTAAATAATAAGAAAGTATATTAAAATATTAAAGTAAAAAAAAGTATGAAAGTGAAAAATAAAAACTGTCTTCCCCCACCCCCCACCATTGACCTCAAGCCCAACCCAACATCTACTAAGCCACAACACATCCACAAATTTATTTTATCTCGGCAATGCACGTTCCGACTGCCGCCACCAATACAACCACAAAGCCACTTATTCAGCCACAACCACCCATCTAAACCCACTGCCATCAATCTCCTATTTCCGACCCTAAAAATTGCAAAATCGCATTGTTTCCAAATTTAACCAAATTCTAAACGTTCAATGGAACTGTTTCTAGTCAGATGGAGACCATATATGGTCACGAGGTTGGAAATTAGGAAGGGTTGGGTAGATCAAAGTGTGGGGATGGGAGATTGTTGATGTAAACTATATATGGTCGTAGTCACTAGCGGACCCATAAATTTCTTAGCGAAGGTGCAATATTGCCTAAGTATGAAAAATGGTTTTTCGGAATAATCATTTTCTCAAGATAATTTTTGGCAGCTTTTATTCCTTAAACATTAAATAAGAAAACTTAATTTTATGGAATTTTAGTATGAAGTATATATTGACTTAATGAACCATCATTTTTAACCTAAATCGTATTTTGCACTCAAATTAATTTTTCATATTTTGATTTGGTGGGAATTTGATTTTCTAGTATTTTTATTTGAATCCAAATTGGGGGGTACTTCCTTATTTACATTGTAAACTTAAGTAAATGAAGTAAGATAAAAATAAATAAAAATAAAAGGACAAAGACAACTTGCGCCTTAATAGGTCCGCTGCTGGTTGTAGTGGTGTGTGGACAGTGGTCGGGGTTAGCCTGAGGAGATCGGTAGTGGTTGGTGGCTTTGTATGTGTGGTCATGTGGTGGGGAAGAGAGAGAGAGAGAGAGAGGTGGTGCCTATGGCAGTGGTTGTTTTGGTAGGGCGATGTGAGGATAGGAAACTGTCTGTTGTGAGAGAAGAAGGGGAGGTAATTCTTGCTTTGATTTTAATATGATCTTATATTTCTTATGTTTAGGTTTTCTTTCAGAGATTTTTCTCAATTTAATATTTTATGCCACTTGAGAAAAACTGACGTCTCATTAGTGCCAAGCGATTACTTAATGGATTTTCTGACAATGAACCAAACAACATGACCCCATTGCAATTTGCAAGGTGTGGGGACAATAATGTTAGAATTGCAAACTCGGGTACTAGTTTGACATCCCACCTTACAAGACAAACAAAGTACTCCAAGATGGAATAAGGAAAGCTTGAAATTCGTCCATGAACAAATCCAATAATTATATGTAATCATCCAATGGAATGATAGTTAACTTTGCCGCACTACTCCACGAACCAAGGTGTAACTTTACACCATGAGCAACTCATTCAACTTGTTAGACACCATAGTTCACTACTTTGATCTTATTGTCGTCCTACGAAACCTTGAGTCCTAACCTGTTTGTTTCTCTAATTGACGTGAAGTTGTGGCTAGCACCCATATCAATTATCACATGAGATGTCTTGCCACACACCATCGCATCAATATACATTAGACTGTTAAACGAAACCCTTCCTTCTAACGAGTTGAGAAGGTGGAGAGCTCAAG